TGCTCAAAACTAGTTCTTCACTGAAATTTAGTCGGTAACCCTTCCGATTAGCTAATGCAATCAGACATTATCCATAACTGTTCCGGTGGTTTATTCAGAAAACTCAATAGGTGGCATTTCCAATGTGATTTTTAGGGGGTATTGAATGACTGAGTTAAAATGATGACAAGAAGGGTAAAATTAATTTGCTTTATATCTATCCAACTAAGGATAGAAATTCCTTTCCATTGAAACTGGTTAATATTCTCTCATGGTTTTAGTTTTGATTTTTCCCCATTTTTCATCATTTTTTTCTTTGCATCCCTTCCTTTTTATATTTTTTTCTTTCATCTTCATTGTTCCCTGTTCTCTTCTGAGGAATTAGGTGTTCTTAGCAAAGGTTTTGGTTCAGAAATTAGTTCTTGGTTTCATGTTACTGAGAGGGAGAAAAGTATGTGGCAGGGAAGAACAACTCAGGCAGACTAGGGTACTGAGACTTGGGGCATACTCCCATTGCAGAGATGGAAGTTTTAGTCAGTCCAGGCTGCTGTAACAAAATACCATAGACTGGGTGTCTTAAACAATGAACATTTATTTCTCACAGATCTGGAGGCTGGAAGTCCAAGATGAGGGTGCCAACATGGTTGGGTTCAGGTGAGAGCTCTCTTCCTGGTTGTGAATGGTTGGTTGCCTTCTTGCTATATCCTCACATGGGGAGGAGAGAGGTAGAAAGAGAGAGGGAGATCATCTCTTTTGTCTCTCTTCTTATAAGGGCACTAATCCCATGGTGAGGTCTCCACCCTCCTGACCTAGTTACTTTCCAAAGACCCCACCTCCAAATAATAGAACACTGGGGATTAGAGCTTCAACATATGAATTTGGGGGGACTCAACCATTCATTCCACAGCAAACAGGTAGCAGTGCAGGGGAAAAAGTACCCCCAACACAGATACACACACACACACACACACATCCACACATCTCTGGGTAACATACACATCTTATCAGCTCCCAAATCTTTGTACTGTCATAGTAGGGTCTTAGTCTCTTCCTTCCATGAGTTCCCTTTCACATACTTTCTGTGCGTTTTCCTTTCTCATTCAAGTCTCTCTGTGATGCATATTTTAACCTGATTTCATTTAGGTAAGATGTTAGTAGCCTGCTGCTAGGTGTAGTATTTTGTTTGCTGTGGGCATTTGGTTGAACATACAGGAAACACAAGGTTAATCCAGTCACTTGGAAATACTGGAAGGTCTTGACATAGAGTAGCCAGCTTGTGGAATCCATTTGTATTTTTTTTGCCATTTTATAAAGTAAGCTCCACTTAGACCAGAAGGGAAATAGTCTACTTGATTTCTTTCTTTCTTTTTTTCTTAGTGAGAGCCTCCAGGTGGGAGGAGAAAGGACAGGACATATTTCCTGTAAGAACAAAAAATGCCACCTAGCGCTTAACCCTCCTTGTCTGATTTCTTTCAGTTAGGAATATAAGTTTCACAAGACAGAGCATATTCTCCTTATCAGGAACCTTCTTTCTCTCTTTTATGCTTCTTAAGATAATTTTGACTATGATATTCCTTAACACATTTTAAGGTTTAAAACTAAAATGTTGAATCATAAATTTATACAGTTTTAAAATATATAAATTGAATTTTAAGGTAAAACTGTTACTCTACTTTTTAAATATATCTATAGCAATATTATGTACACCATAATCTATTTTTAAAAGCATACAAATCTCTTTTATAATTAGACATTTTTTATCATTCTCTTTTCTCCTTAAAATTGTATTTCCATGCTACTTCCTCCTCAGAATTTTATACCAATGTAACATATTTTTATATTTAAATACCTTTTATTGATTACCCTTTCTTTTTCTTAAGATTTTTTATTTGAGAGAGAGAGCACGTGAGCGCAGAGTGCACGAGTTGGGGGAGGGGCAGAAGGAGAGGGAGAAGCAGGCTCCCCGCCAAACAGGGAGCCTGATGCAGGGGCTCTCTCCCAGGACCCTGAGATTATGACCTAGGCCAAAGGCAGAGGCTTAACTGACTGAGCCACCCAGGCATCCCTTGATTACGCTTTAATATGCCTATGCAACAAAAACTTAAAAATTTCCATTCCTTTTTTTTTTCATAATCTCCATAGTCAAGAATTTCATGTCTAAATTTAAATTCCTTTTGCTACAATCTTAGCTCAGTAAAAGAGAAGATAAAATTTCTGTAACCCTACAGTTTTAAGAGCCAAAATTTTCTTCTGTATTATCACTAGTTATTTTTCATATGCAAATAATCAAAACCAACATACATACATTATCACTTTTATAATTAGTGTGTATTAAAAATTGTATTGAAAAAATGAAAATTGCTTTTCTTAGTGTGGAGGAGGTTTATGGTGTTTTGATCTAATAAGGTGACACAAATATTTAAAATTATTTCTTTGTTTGACACCCCAGAGATTATTATACCTGAGAACAATGCATGGCACCAACAGGGATGGGGGACAGCTGTACCTTTCTTTTGCCAAGTGGGAGACAGGCTATGGACAAAAGAAAGTGGAAAGAGAAGGCGTACGAAGATCTCACTGAAGACACCTATGTAGGCAGATTGCTTTTAGGGAAGAGTGGATATGGAAGTTGAGTATCTGGAAATTGGTTTCCTTAAAACTGTGTTTGCAAAGAGTGAGTATACCTATTTGAACAAGCTGATTTATATAGTTCTTAAAGCAGTCCATGGACCTTCTCCCCCCAGAATGGTAAGAGACGATGCAATAGGAGGCCACAGAACAATTATAGACACCTCTTTGAGACCATTGGAGTGGGAAGGAACACAGTGGGAGAACTTGTTTTTAGATAAGTTTTAATCTTTAGGAATTCTGATCGAACTATATTTTGATTACAATAAAAACTTCATTTGATTTCTGTTGCCAAATGTTTTCTGCTTTTTGAAAAGTAAATGCCTTTTAAATTGATATATTTAAATTTGATGAGATAACTGAAGTTATTAATCTCAGTCCCAGTAGCTGTTCCTCATTTATGCTCATGCAGAAAGTCCTGCTAATTATGAAATATCACAGGCTATCACTTATAAGTGAGAGAATAAAGTATACAGGAACCTCTCAAACAAAATGTACTAGGTTGGGCGCCTGGGTGGCTCAGTTGGTTAAGCGACTGCCTTTGGCTCAGGTCATGATCCTGGAGTCCCGGGATTGAGTCCCGCATCTGGCTCCCTGCTCGGCGGGGAGTCTGCTTCTCCCTCTGACCCTCCTCCCTCTCATGCTCTCTGTCTCAAATAAATAAATAAAATCTTTAAAAAAAATGTACTAGGTTAATTTATATTGACAAATGTCACTCACTTAAGAATGTTCCTTGAAATCAGTTTATGACTTACTCTAAAAGCCTTTAGTAGATGAAAACTCTCAGTAATCCCATTTATCTCAATTTGTATCTCAATCTATTTTTCATTTCCTAAATTTATAATTATTTATTTATATTTCTTATTGATTTTATACTTAATAAATAAAATGCATATTATTTTAACATTTGTTATTATTTATTATAATTATTAATGTTTACATATTTATAATTATTTTTATGATTTATGATTTTTCTTTAAAAATGGTATTTTACATGTGGAAATCAATAGATAATCTTTTACAAAAAGAGCTAGAATAAGGAGCTCACATTTATTTTTGTTTTTTTTTTTTAAGATTTTATTTATTTATTTGACAGAGAGAGACACAGTGAGAAAGGGAACACAAGCAGAGGGAGTGGGAGAGGGAGAAGCAGGCTTCCCGCCAAGCAGGGATCCCGATGCAGGGCTCGATCCCAGGACCCTGGGATCATGACCTGAGCCGAAGGCAGATGCTTAACGACTGAGCCACCCAGGCGCCCCAAGGAGCTCACATTTGTAAAGTCACATGTGAAACATTTTACAGCAATGACAAGGGCATTATATATAAAGAACATGCAATTAGGACCAATATCTAAATAAGACTTTGTAAAATAGATAAGAAATGGTGCAAAAAGATACTGTAAAAAGTCAGTTTTATATACCTTGTCATTGTATATAAAACTGGCAAGCATAAGCTTATTAACTGATATAAAAAGCACACAGAATAGCATGCATAATTTTAAGTCTTTTAATATTAAATCAAGAGGAAGTTGACACAAAGTAAATTATAAATGTATGACAAAGTTAAATTAATAATTTATTGTACATTATCTATTCAATTTATTTTCCATTTATATTTACTCCAATTTAGCAAATCAACCCTGCTCTCAAAACAAAGGCATCAGACTTTTTACTCTACACTTGAGAAAAGTGAAAACTAGTGAGATCTTACCATAAACTATTTGTTTTCAGTTATTTGGCATGACATGTTACATATTTTTAACCCAAGTGTTAGCTCCTCCTTGAAGCACTGTAGCAAAAGTTCAGAAACATTGGGGAAAAAAATTGACCTTGGAGCACTTGGCCACCAGAATTTCAGGGCAGGTGTGGTATGTGGGGTCCCCCCTGGGTTTTTGTTGACCTGGGAAACAGCGTCCATCCTTAGGTCAAGCAGCAGACCCACCTATGGAAAGCAGGTGATGTCAGAGTCCGGCCCAAGGCCCAGAAGTGTTGTGGGGGAAGGAAACAGAGGAGAGGAGAGGGGAGTACAGAAAGAAGGGCAGTGGGAGGGAAAAAAGATGGTGAGAGAAAGAAACAAGTGAGCCCAGCATAAGAACAGGGCGGTGCCACTCCCTGGGGTCTCTGTCTCTCTGTGCTAGTACCATCGTTTTACCTAGGCATATGTAGGGAACTTTCCAAAACACAGAGAAGCTTTGTGGGTCTAGCTCTCAGATCTTATGCAACCAATTGTTTTGGGAACAGCCTGGAAATTTCACAAGAAAGCTGAGTTCTCAAGAGATTGACAGTTTGACCAAAGGATCAAAGGTTTGGTGCAGTGGGGCTAATTTTCAGAAAGCCCTTTCCAACTGTGAAGATTTTCCTTCTTGTTATGACAGTTAAGACATGTGAAAATAGAAGATGGCGGAGGAGTAGGAGACCTGGATTTCATCTGGTCTCAGGAATTCAGCTGGATAGGGATCAAACCATTCTGAACACCTACAAACTCAATAGGAGATCAAAGAAAAGAATAGCAGCAACTCTCTGAACAGAAAAGCGACCACTTTCTGGAAGGTAGGACGTGCAGAGAAGGGAATCTGAGGCGATATTCGGGAGGATAGACGGCGGGGGAGGGGGCCTCCGTCAGCTGCTACCGGCAAGTGATAGAGCCGCGGAGCACAAAATAAGAACTTTTAGAAGTCAGCTCCGCTGAGGGACGTCGCTCCAGTGGCTAAGTGAGGGGTGGGACCCTCATGGGACAGTGTGGTCTCAGGACCCTCGGGGTCACAGAAAGACTGGGGGTGCCTGAGTGCAGCAGAGCTCCCAGGTATCGGAGCGGGGAAGCCGGCTGCAGAGACAGAGGCGAGGCACAGGCTCTCAGCTCGGGGTTGCCATAAACTGTGATCCGTGGCACAGTCAGGCTACTGCTCCTCCAGCAGGAACCCAACAGGCGGCAGATCCGGGAGACTCCCCCTCCTCCCATGGGAGGAGTGGCTAGGGAGTGCACTGCAGGGATCTGCTGGGTTTGGAGACTCCACACAGGGTTGGGTGCCAGAGATAGAAATGCACGGTCACAGGCCACGTGAGCATGGGGTGCAGCCGGAGACCAAGGAGACGGGAGTGACTGACTGCTTTTCTCTGGGGGCTCACTGAGGAGTGGGGCCCCGAGTTCTTGGCTCCTCCGGGGCGGAGATTGGGAGGCTGCCATTTTCACTCTCGGCCTCCAAAGCTGTACAGAAAGCTTGCAGGGAACAAAAGCTCCCGAGAGCAAACCTGAGCAGATTATTAAACTCAGACCAGCAAGGGTGGGGCAATTCCGCCTCCAACAAAGACATTTGGGAACCACGGCAACAGGCCCCTCCCCCAGAAGATCAGCAAGAGCAGCCAGCCAAGACCAAGTTTACCAATCAATGAGAATGGCAGAACTCCAGCGCTAGGGGAATACTGCACATAGAATCCATGGCTTTTGTACCATGATTCTTTAGTCTTTCAAAGTTAATTATTTTTTTAACTGAGTTTTTTTTTTGAATTTTTCTTTTTCACTTTTTCAACCAACATCTTCTCAATCCGTTTTTTTTTTTTAATTTTCATTTTTAGAGTCATATTCTATCCCTTCATAGTAGTTACCCTTATTTTTGGCATATATATATAAGTTGTTCTATCTTTAAAATTTTGAGATACAGTTTCTTCTAACAGATCAAAATATACCCTAAATCTCTAGTGTATGGTTTTGTTCTACTCTCCTGCCTGATCACATTCTCTCCCTTTTTTTCTTTTTTCTTTTAAATCCTCTTCTTTCTTTTCTCAAACAACTTCTTATCAATTCCTTTTATAAAATTTTTTATAATTTTCATCTTTACAGTCATATTCCATCCCTTCATCATAACAGCTGTTATTTTTGTACATATATAAGTTTTTCTTTCTTTAAAATTTTGGGAGGCACTTTCTTCTAACAGACCAAAATACGCCCAAAATCTAGTGTGTGGCACTGATCTATGCACCAGCCTGATCATATTTGATCATATTCTGTTTTTTTTTTTGTTTTGTTCTGTTTTTGCTTGTTTTTATCTTTTTCTTTTTTCTTTCTTTTTCTTTTTTCTTTCTTTCCCTTTCTTTCCCCCAGATTCAGGTCTTTCTGATTTGTTTGGAGTATATTTTCTGGGGACGTTGTTACCCTGTTAGCATTTTGCTTGCTCATTAATCTATTCTCCTCTGGACAAAATGACAAGACAGAAAAAATCACCTCAACAAAAAGAACAAGAGGTAGTACCAGCTGCCAGGGACCTACTCAATACAGACATTAGTACGATGTCAGATCTAGAGTTCAGAATCATCACTTTAAAGATACTAGATGGGCTTGAAAAAAGCATGGAAGTTATTAGAGAAACCCTTTCTGGAGAAATAAAAGAACTAAAACTTAACCAAGTCGAAATCAAAAAGGCTATTAATGAGGTGCAATCAAAAATGGGGGTGCTAACTGCTAGGATAAATGAGGCAGAAGAGAGAATCAGTGATATAGAAGACCAAATGATGGAAAATAAAGAAGCTGAGAAAAAAAGAGATAAACAACTACTGGATCACGAGAGCAGAATTCGAGAGATAAGCGATACCATAAGATGAAACAATATTAGAATAATTGGGATCCCAGAAGAAGAAGAAAGAGAGAGAGGGGCAGAAGGTATACTGGAGCAAATTATAGCAGAGAACTTCCCTACTTTGGGGAAGGAAGCAGGCATCAAGATCCAGGAAGCATAGAGAACCCCTCTCAAAATCAACAAAAATAGGTCAACACCCCAACATCTAATAGTAAAACTTACGAGTCTCAGAGACAAAGAGAAAATACTGAAAGCAGCTCAGGACAAGAGATCTGTAACCTACAATGTTGGAAACATTAGACTGGCAACAGACCTATCCACAGATACCTGGCAGGCCAGAAAGGACTGGCATGATATATTCAGAGCACTCAGCGAGAAAAATATGCAGCCAAGAATACTATATCCAGCTAGGCTGTCATTGAAAATAGAAGGAGAAATAAAAAGCTTCCAGGACAAACAAACACTAAAGGAATTTGCAAACACGAAACCAGCCCTACAACAAATATTGAAAGGGGTCCTCTAAGCAGAGAGAGAGCCTAAAAGCAACATAGACCAGAGAGGAACACAGACAATATACAGTAACAGTCACCTGACAGGCAATACAATGGCACTAAATTCATATCTTTCAATAGTTACCCTGAATGTAAATGGGCTAAATGCCCCAATCAAAAGACACAGGCTATCAGATTGGATTAAAAAACAAGACCCATTGATATGCTGTCTGCAAGAGACTCATTTTAGAACCAAAGACACCCCCAGATTGAAAGTGAGGGTGTGGAAAACCATTTACCATGCTAATGGACACCAGAAGAAAGCTGGGGTGGCAATCCTTCTATCAGAAAATTAGATTTTAAACCAAAGACTGTAATAAGAGATGAGGAAGGACACTATATCCTACTTAAAGGGTCTCTCCAACAAGAAGATCGATCAATTGTAAATATCTATGCCCCTAACATGGGAGCAGCCAGTTATATAAGGCAATTAATAACAAAAGCAAAGAAACACACTGACAACAATACAGTAATAGTGGGGGACTTTAACACCCCCCTCACTGAAATGGACAGATCATCTAAGCAAAAGATCAACAAGGAAATAAAGACTTTAAATGACACACTGGACCAAATGCACTTCACAGACATATTCAGAACATTCCATCCCAAAGCAATAGAATACACATTCTTCTCTAGTGCCCGTGGAACATTCTCCAGAATCGATCACATCCTATGTCATAAATCAGGTCTCAACCAGTGCCAAAAGACTGGGATCATTCCCTGCCTATTTTCAGACCCCAATGCTTTGAAACTAGAACTCAATCACAAGAGGAAAGTCGGAAAGAACTCAAATACATGGAGGCTAAAGAACATCCTACTGAAGAATGAATGGGTCAACCAGGAAATTAAAGAAGAATTAAAAAAATGCATGGAAACCAATGAAAATGAAAACACAACTGTTCAAAATCTTTGGGAGGCAGCAAAGGCAGTCCTAAGAGGCAAGTATATAGCAATACAGGACTTTCTCAAGAAACAAGAAAGGTCTCAAGTACACAGCCTAACCCTACACCTAAAGGAGCTGGAGAAAGAACAGCAAATAAAGCCTAAACCCAGCAGGAGAAGAGAAATAATAAAGATCAGAGCAGAAATCCATGAAATAGAAACCAAAAGAACAGTAGAACAGATCAACGAAACTAGGAGCTGGTTCTTTGAAAGAATTAAGCAGACTGATAAACCCCTGGCCAGACTTATCAAAAAGAAAACAGAAATGATCCAAATCAACAACATCATGAATGAAAGAGGAGAGATCACAACCAACACCAAAGAAATACAAACAATTATAAGAACATATTATGAGCAACTCTATGCCAGCAAATTAGATAACCTGGAAGAAATGGATGCATTCCTAGAGATGTATCAACTACCAAAATTGAACCAGGAAGAAATAGAAAACCTGAACAGACCTATAACCACTAAGGAAATTGAAGCAGTCATCACAAATCTCCCAAGAAACAAAAGCCCAGGGCCAGATGGCTTCCCAGGGGAATTCTACCAAACATTTCAAGAAGAATTAATACCTATTCTTCTGAAGCTGTTCCAAAAAATAGCAATGGAAGGAAAACTTCCAAACTCGTTTTATGAGGCCACCATTACCTTGATCCCCAAACCAGACAAAGACCCCATCCAAAAGGAAAATTACAGGCCAATGTCCTTGATGAACATGGATGCAAAAATTCTCACAAAATACTAGCCAACAGGATCCAACAGTACATTAAAAGGATTATTCATCACGACCAAGTGGGATTTATCCCTGGTCTGCAAGGTTGGTTCAACATCTGCAAATCAATCAAGGTGATACAATACATTAACAAAAGAAAGAACAAGAATCATATGATCCTCTCAATAGATGCAGAAAAAGCATTTGACAAAGTACAGCATCCTTTCTTGATCAAAACTCTTCAGAGTATAGGGATAGAGGGTACACACCTCAGTATCATAAAAGCCATCTATGAAAAACCTATAGTGAATGTCATTCTCAATGGAGAAAAACTGAGAGCTTTCCCCCTAAGGTCAGGAACGCGGCAGGGATGTCCACTATCACCACTGCTATTCAACATAGTATTGGAAGTCCTAGCCACAGCAATCAGACAACAAAAAGAAATCAAAGGCATCTGAATTGGCAAAGAAGAAGTCAAACTCTCACTCCTTGCAGATGATATGATACTTTATGTGGGAAAACCCAAAAGACTCCACCCCAAAACTGCTAGAACTCATACAGGAATTCAGTAAAGTGGCAGGATATAAAATCAATGCACAGAAATCAGTGGCATTCCTATACACCAACAACAAGACGGAAGAAAGAGAAATTAAGGAGTCGATCCCATTTACAATTGCACCCAAAACCATAAGATACCTAGGAATAAATCTAACCAAAGAGGCAAAGAATCTGTACTCAGAAAACTAAAATACTCATGAAAGAAATTGAGGAAGACACAAAGAAATGGAAAAACGTTCCATGCTCATGAATTGGAAGAACAAATATTGTGAAGATGTCAATGCTACCTAGGGCAATCTACACATTCAATGCAATCCCCATCAAAATACCATCCACTTTTTTCAAAGAAATGGAACAAATAATCCTAAAATTTGTATGGAACCAGAAAATACCCCGCATAGCCAGAGGAATGTTGAAAAAGAAAAGCAAAGCTGGTGGCATCACAATTCCAGACTTCAAGCTCTATTACAAAGCTGTCATCATCAAGACAGTATGGTACTGGCACAAAAACAGACACATAGATCAATGGAACAGAACAGAGAGCCCAAAAATGGAACCTCAACTCTATGGTCAACTAATCTTTGACAAAGCAGGAAAGAATGTCCAATGGAACAAAGACAGTCTCTTCAACAAATGGTGTTGGGAATATTGGACAGCCATATGCAGAAGAATGAAAATGGACCATTTCCTTATGCCACACACAAAAATAGACTCCAAATGGTTGAAAGACCTCAATGTGAGACAGGAGTCCATCAAAATCCTAAAGGAGAACACAGGCAGCAACCTCTTCTACCTCAGCCTCAGCAGCTTCTTCCTAGAGACATCACCAAAGGCAAGGGAAGCAAGGGCAAAAATGAACCATTGGGACTTCATCAAGATAAAAAGCTTTTGCAAAGCACAAGAAACAGTCAGCAAAACCAAAAGACAACCAACAGAATGGGAGAAGATATTTTCAAATGACATATCAGATAAAGGGCTAGTATCCAAAATCTATAAAGAACTTATCAAACTCGACACCCAAGGAACAAAAAATCCAATCAAGAAATGGGCAGAAGACATGAACAAACATTTTTCCAAAGAAGACATCCAAATGGCCAACAGACGCATGAAAAAGTGCTCAACATCGCTCGGCATCAGGGAAATCCAAATCAAAACCTCAATGCGATACCACCTCACACCAGTCAGAACGGCTAAAATTAACAAGTCGGGAAATGACAGATGTTGGCGGGGATGCAGAGAAAGGGGAACCCTCCTACCCTGTTGGTGGGAATGCAAGTTGTTGCAGCCACTCTGGGAAACAGTATGAAGGTTCCTCAAAAAGTTGAAAATAGAGCTAACATACGACCCAGCAATTGCACTACTGGGTATTTGCCCCAAAGATACAAATGTAGGGATCCGAAGGGGTACGTGCACCCCGATGTTTATAGCAGCAATATCCACAATAGCCAAACTATGGAAAGAGCCAAGATGTCCATCGACAGATGAATGGATAAAGAAGAGGTGGTATATATATACAATGGAATATTATGCAGCCATCAAAAGGAATGAGAGCTTGCCATTTGCAATGACGTGGATGGAACTGGAACATGTTATGCTGAGCGAAATAAGTCAATCAGAGAAAGACATGTATCATATGACCTCACTGATATGAGGAATTCTTAATCTCAGGAAACAAACTGAGGGTTGCTGGAGTGGGGGGTGGGCTGGGAGAGATAGGGGCTGGGTGATAGACACTGGGGAGGGTATGTGCTACGGTGAGCGCTGTGAATTGTGCAAGACTGTTGAATCACAGATCTGTACCTCTGAAACAAATAATGCAATATATGTTAAGAAAAAAAAAGAAGAAGAAGATAGCATGAGGGGAAGAATGAAGGTGGGGAAATTGGAGGGGGAGATGAACCATGAGAGATGATGGACTCTGAAAAACAAACTGAGGGTTCTAGAGGGGAGGGGGGTTGGGGGGATGGGTCAGCCTGGTGATGGGTATTAAAGAGGGCACATTCTGCATGGAGTACTGGGTGTTATACACAAACAATGAATCATGGAACACTGCATCAAAAACTAATGATGTAATGTATGGTGATTAACATAACAATAACAAATTTTTTAAAAAAAGACTTGTGAAAATAGTAATTTGAGGCATTTATAAGCAGCTTTCTTCTTTGTTCACAATGTTCCATGAATGTCAGTCCTCTCCGAACCCATGAAAACAAAGTAGGCGGCCATGATGATTACCCCCTGACCACTGATAAAAGGAAAGGGAAGTACAGAAATATGCAGTGATTTGTTTGGCTTGCCAGAAACGGAAAGTCACATGGGTGGGTTACAATTATTATTGCCTTCAGATTGACAAAGTACATAAGCAGCACTGCTGGGGGTGGGGGGGGGGAGGGGAGGAAGGGGATGCTGTATGATTAAGAGTGAGATGAGCGATAGTCAGTCGGGTGGGTAATGAAAACCTAACAGTTATTTGAGATTCTGAGCACTCCAAATATATTTATCAGACCAATAAGATCTAAAAGCCATATAACAAGATTAGGGAAGTCTGTGATAAACAGAAGCTAATATAGGCTGTTGCTATTGAAAATGTGTACGATAACTAATAGCAGTTCTCTGAGCCTTTTGTTTGTTGAATTAACAGGAGGTGATGTAGATAAACCAAGTACTGGTCAGCAATCCTTAATAACCAGGAGATGTCTACTATTTATTTGGAAGCTCAAGAATGCAATCAAAAACCCATTTCCCCCAACATCTTACAAATCAGTTTTGGCTGCTGAGACTAACTCAAAATAGGGGACGTATAGAAACTTTGCAATTATACCAAGGCTTTCTGATTCATTGTTCCTATAGTCTGGATCAGGCTTCACAACCATACCTGGGGCGTATTAGGCCAGGAAGTGAAGGAATTGGCATGTGTTTTTATTATGTTTAAACCTACCTGGATTTAAAAGGCATTAAATGTCTTCTGATTTCTTTTCTTTCCTTCAGTTGTACAAGAACGCTTGAACTGGATATTGTGGCTGCAAACGTTCACTCTCTGCACTGATCACCTGGAGATCTGTTTTCAACTCTCTGAAGATTCCCAAAGGTAGCCCTTCCCCCTCCAAGTCTTCAAAGCAGGATCTTTCAGCCTGTAAAGATCCATGAGCCCAGGATTTCCTGCTTCTGGCCCCAGCCACCCAGTTTAATTTTACCTGTCATTCAATTCTCCATATAACAGCCAGACCCCAGTTTCCTCTTGGGACTTGTGGATAAAGCCATCTCTACTCAAATTAATGGAAGTGAAAAATTTAAATTATTTACAAAGAACTCATTCTGATGCTATATATCTCCCTTCCATCATAATTTAAGAAGCTCAAACTTGATGCACAAAGAACATCCTGAGGATGACTGGCCAGTCACTATTGAAGGGCTTAGATACCAAAAGAGCAGAATGGGACAGGCTGGGTCATAGTCATCTAAATTTCTCTTGAAGGAACACTAGCGCTAATACCAGTTCCCGCTGCAACTAAATTAAGATGTTTTTTCCAGAAGGAGTTAGCATTCAGCCACAGTAAATTTACAGTGGAGACTTCCAAAAGTGAAATGTGTTTCTCCTCATTTACTCCACTCATAATTTCAATTAGGAACACACTGATTAACCCCAGAACACAGTTTCTGGGGGAATCTTACTACCATTATCCTAATTTCATGAACTCAGAAAAACAGGGAGAAGCTTATAATTTATTATGGCAAATTATGCAAAGCTAAACCTCTGACAGGCTGTATCTATAAAAAGATGAGACTGACCATTATTTATTTATTTTTTCTGGAAGGGTGAGGGAGCTCTGAGTTCAGAGGCTGAATGAACTGACTGCTTCAGGACTGCCTGGTAGATACAGTCAATTCAAGTAGGAGAAAATGCTAAATATCAGGTTGAATTTTTTTCAGCGTGTTAAGGCATTTATTTTAAAAGCATTTAAGAAGAAAATGTAGCCACAATTCAGCAGAGGTCATACTTAAGAAGGTGATAAAACGCAGTGGTATTGCAAAGCCATGTAATTGAATGAAAGAGCAAATTTCCTCACATGTAAGTTCTGTCCAGTGTCTATCTGTCTTGATTTTTTTTTTTTAAGATTTTATTTATTTGACAGAGAGAGCGACACAGCGAGAGAGGGAACACAAGTAGTGGGAGTGGGAGAGGGAGAAGCAGGCTTCCCGCTGAGCAAGGAGCCCGATGCTGGGCTCGATCCCAGGACCCCGGGATCATGACCTGAGCCGAAGGCAGATGCTTAACGACTGAGCCACCCAGGAGTCCCTGTTTATCTGTCTTGAACTATCCACCTTTACTCCATCTCCAGTAGCGCTGTTCTGGCCAAGCCACCTCACTGAAATCTTCACTTCCTCTGATGCACCTCTTCAAGCTGCTTTCTCATAGCTACCATGGTGATTAAAAAAAAATGAGTTCATGTTACCTCGGCTTATTTAAAACTTGTCAAAATTCCCATTGCATTTTGAAAAACAAATGCAGATTCTCTCAAATCAAAGCCAGTATTCTTATCCTTATTTTTCTGATCAATTTTTCCAAAATTTAAATTTTCTCTGGACATAGTCCTAATTTTATTCAGGGTGGTAATGCCTAGGCCCAGGTGCTGAATCATCTTTGATCTAAAATGATCCTAAGTACCTTGTTCCTCTCATTTTCCCAGACTCCTTTGCAATTACAGGGGGTCATGTGACCCAATTGTGGATGATGAAACTAAGGGTGTGTGTGTGTGTGAAGGGTAGAGGAGAGCTTCTGAGGATGTTTTCTGCGCTTTTGATACAAGGACAGACATGGATGTTGGTGTGTATAAACCCCTTCTTTCTGCCATGAATGTTGAAGTGGTGGTTTGGCATGAGGTAGCCAGCCTACAGCCTTGAGAGAAAGCCTTGCCATTTTTGAGCCATGGAACCAATGCCAGAAGTCATTTGCCTTCATTTTGTTAAATGAAAACAACAATCACATATTCACTTGAGCCACTGTTAGGTTACCTGCTACTGAAAGTACTCCTAACTGATGCAGGTGTGTGTGTATGTGTGTGTGTGTGTGTGCGTGCATGTGGACGCACACACGCTAGGCGAGTAGAGCACTTAACGGTGACGGTAAGAAGATATATGTTACTTGTACCCAAAGTTAGCTGGTTCAGTGTCATCTGGATATTTACAAAGTGAAAGTAGGGACAGGTTGTCAATATCTTTTTTTTTTTTTTAAAGATTTTATTTATTTATTTGAGAGAGAGAGAATGAGAGACAGAGAGCATGAGAGGGAGGAGGGTTAGAGGGAGAAGCAGACTCCCTGCCGAGCAGGGAGCCCGATGCGGGACTCGATTCCGGGACTCCAGGATCATGACCTGAGCCGAAGGCAGTCGCTTAACCAACTGAGCCACCCAGGCGCCCAGGTTGTCAATATCTTTAATGTTACACTTTAAATATGGAAGAGGTTAAGAATCTGGATTTTAAATTTCATTAATTAAATCTGATGCTCAGGAGAGCAGTCCTTCCAAGACACTGGCTATATTTCATTGTGGAAAACAATAGCTTGTATATTTATCAAAAGCCAAGTTTAAAAAGAAATCTGCTTTTCATTTTCAATGTTAACCTCCTTTTATTTCCTTTTATAAAAACAAAATATATTGTTTATATTTTTGGATATTTGAGTAAAGAACAAACAGCATTCACAAAAAGCTGTATTTTACAAAACGCTATTTTAGATTTTAAACATTTAAAATGTTTGTAGGAAAAATGGCTTAGAATAAAACAGAAATTAAAAATGTTCCATTATACTATGTGCTGTATACAATAGACCATGTTATATTGTTGGAGACTAGAATTTTAAAATAACACTATTATAGTTTTAGGTACTTCATTACCTGTTAATTTGCATAATAATGAGTGACATTTTTATAGTGTTACTATGTGCTAGTCAATGATCTTTATATTAACTCATTTAGTTTTATTAACTCTGTGGATTTGTTACCATGGTCATCCTCAGATGTTGACTAATTTGCTCCAGCAAAGCAAATTTGAATCATAATCTGGCTCTAGATTATGCACTCTTGCCCACTACACCCTCCTGCCTTCCAAGTAGTATTAGTCAGTATATTTCATATGAGAATAGCTATATTACTTGTTAACTTGTGCTGAGCCACATTTCTTAACACATTTCCTCTTCAGTCCTTTATCTGAGTATATAAAGATATTGTCCCATTTATTATCCTACACACTTTGAGATAAACGGATTTACCACGCTCCCTTACTCTATTCTCCCAGTAAGCTAACAAATTAGGGGGTGGATCACTACTATCATTGTGTACTCAACCAATTAGAACAAAACTCCCTCTGAAGAGAAGCCAAAGCCAAAATTCTCAGCCACCATAAGAAGAAAGGATCAGTTGCTGTTTGGGGATAAATTAAAAAATGTTGCACTAACCATATTCAGCTTGTAAAACTGTAGCTCGAATTTTGCCATTTCTATCCATTTCATGGCCTGGATTTCAGGGTTGTACAGATCTTACTCCATCTTCTGGGGGGGGGGCACCACACAAGTCTTTCTCTTTTTCTGTCTGTCATTGAGACTCAGGAAATGTGGGCAAACATGAAGACTAATGACCTGGGTTTTAGGGATGGAACAGAAGTTCCAGAAAAGAAGGAGGAAAATTTGCTGCTTCAGTCATCTGTGTGTGATTTAGGCCAACTACGGGTGGAGAAAGGGGTAAGAGAAAAGCAAGAACCAGAAGTATTTAATGGAAGAGGGCAGAGTCTACAAGAATAAAATGTACAAGAGGAACAGCAGACTTGAGAAGAGTGAGAAAGTCAGGGGGTCTGGGTCTGGGCAATGGAATGAGTCTTTAAAGAGTGTTAGGGAAGAAAAAGTCTGTTCTCCCAGGCTCTCACTTGTAGAAGCTACAGTTTTAAGGGAAGCTGCCCAGAACCACCTCTCTGCTTGGATGCTCTTTAGGCATCAAGGAAATAAACAATTAAGCCTAGCCCTGGCCACATCCTTTTTCTCCTGGCATTTGCATCCTCTCTCCATTCTCCAAACCTTTGATATTACTCCTTAAGTTAATCACTCATTTTTTCTTTGCAGAGTCCCGTCCCTGCATCTGCCGCTCTCACGAAGGGCTGCTGGGTGCTCCCCATTCAGCAGCCACCCTGGACCAGCACATGCTGCTCAAAGCTTCTTTTCCACTTATGGGGAAATGACAAGAAAGTTCCTAAAATGACAGTCCCAACTTGCTCCCCACGATTATGTTCTTTTTCTCTCCCTTTCACTTTCAAGTTTTCGTTTTAGTTCTGTGTGTGGAACTTAGCTAAGAGGAAGAAGAGATTACTAGAGCTAGCTTTGGGGCAAAGTACTAGAGGAGTTTCTGCAAGAGGAATTGCTGCAGCCCCATGATGCAGACTGACAGCTACCACTCCTCATCTATCAGTCATTGGCATCCCACTGATGAGCTCCTGCCCACCACTCCTCTTAAGTCTGGTCCCACCAAAGTTTCTAGTCCTCCCAGTTCATGACTCAAATGCAGAGCATTCAGGCCTTTTGTTAACTGAATACTTTTGGATCACATCTTTCTTTCTTTCATCCCCAAATCTTTGTCCCATGTATTCCTCTCTGATTGTCCCTTCTCATTTTCCCCCCACTGGTTCCTCTTCCTCTGCTTCATCCTTACATTGTGACATCCCTGGGCTTCTGGTTCTGCCATCCTCCACTTTTCCCTCACCTTCTTCCCTATATGGGTTGAACTGGGTCCCGTCCAAAAAGATATGTTAAAATCTTGACCTCCAGTATCACAGAATGTGACCTTATTTGGAAATAGGGTCATTGCAGATGTAATTAGCTAAGTTAACATAAGGTTGTAGTGAGGTAGGGTTGCTCTGAGTCCACTATGACTGGGGTTCACATAAGAAAAGGAAATTTATTTATTTATTTGAAGAATTTTTTTTAATTTGTTTGAGAGAGAGAGAGAGAGAGAGCTCACAAGCAGGGGGGGAAGGGTAGAGGGAGACACAGACTCCCTGCCAATTAGGGTGCCAGATACAGGACTTGATCCCAGGATCTGGGGATCATGACCTGAGCCAAAGGAAGACGCTTAGCCGACTGAGTCACCCAGGCGCCCCAAGAAAAGGAAATTTAGACACAGCATATTCAGAGGGAAGGCGGCCACAGGAAGACGGAGGCAGGGATCAGAGTGATGCTGCCACAAGCCAAGGAACACCTGGAGCCACCAGAAACTGGAAAAGGCAAGCAAGGCTCCGCTGTAAGAGGCTTCAGAGGTGTCATGGCCCTGCCAACACTTTGATTTCAGATTTCTAGCCTCCAGAACTGTGAGTCAATACATTTTGTTGTTTTTAGCCCAGTGTGTGGGTACTTTGTTCCTGCAGCCCCTTGACACTAACAGACCTTCCCTCCCTTCCTGCCCCTCCCCTTCTCTGTTTTCTTCCCTTTCCCTGGATAACCATAACAGCTGCTTGCATGACTTCCATTACCACATATATCCTGACAGATCCTGAACTCCCGAACCAAGTTTATTATTTCCCATTTATCTTCTTCATCTGGGTGTCCTGCAGACATTTGAAACTCAACACATTTAAAACAGGACTCAAACTTGCTCTTCTTTCTATGTTTTTGTGGCAGACTGTATTTTCCTAGGCAGACCGTATTTTCCTGTAGACTGACACAATATATCTCATTGTGACCTTGTTATGTGACATTGTAAGTCCTCCCATCCAGAGCTGAGGGTCTCTGTTCCCTCCCTGAACCAGGGTGGAACTTTGTGACTGACTACCTTGACCAGTTAAGAGCCTGGTGTCAGAGGAGACCTTATGTAACTTCTATGGCCAGGTCATAAAAATTGCCCGTGATCTCTCTTCTTCCTGGAGTGACTTTATTAGTTTTTGCTGTCCAATAAACTCTCATTTATCCTTCAAGACTGAGGTGACGTATCACTGCTTTGAAGAACTTTCTTGAAGCATCCCCTTGTCTCTTAGTAGAGTTACTCTTTTCCTCTGCTCTAATAAAACCTTTCAGTACCCCTCTTCATTAGAATGCTTTTTTTCCCTAGCTGTTTCTGCCATTAAACTGAGAAATATCTAGCCCTAGGACTATGTACTAGATTCAGCATTAAGTACTCAAGATTCCAAGAACAACAGGTGTAATGTAGTCATGCCTTTCATTCGATCATCCTCCTGTTCACTCATTTGTTTGTTCCTTTATCAAATATTGCTCACCATGGTGCGCTATTCTTTTTTTTCATTTTTTAAAATTTTATTGTATTATGTTAATCACCATACATTACATCATTAGTTTTTGATGTAGTGTTCCATGATCCATTGTTTGTGTATAACACCCAATGCTCCATTCGGTACGTGCCCTCTTTAATACAATGGTGCTCTATTCTTGAGGAAAGAGTGAGCATGTAACCTTTTTAATTTGGCTTAGTGAGTCTGAAAGCCAAAGCCATTGTCTTTTGCCTGGGGAGCTCATAGGATACTTTGGGAACAACTTCAGTAACAAAAGTAAAATACATGTTTATGAAGCCAAACACTGTAATAGCCACTTTACATATATCATTACACTTAACTCTCACAAGAATATTGCAATGTAGATTTTATTGCTCAGTAAACTGATACTCAGATATTAAATAACTTTCCCAAGATCACAGTTAGTAAATGACATTGCCAGATTTGGATCTAGGTCTGTTTGGTTCTAAAGTTCTTTCCATAGTAGGTCATATTTTCTTCTTCATTTACCATCAGTGGTCATCTCCTTAGTAATTACTGCATTGTTACCATTTCCAGACCACCCAGGTATCCATCCACTGAAAGAGCCAGTGAGGGTGGGACCGTACCAGCCCTGACAGCCTTCCCACTTGGCTTTCCAAATTTCCATCCCCCCTCCCCCCCCGCCAACTGCTGTCTAGTGAGCTGTGCTTTATTTCTCTTCCATTATCAGTTATTTTGAACAATTCAGAAGGTGAGTTTTCATGAGGCTGCACAGAGAGAAGTTCAATGAGTCAAGCAAAATTGGACTTGGGAAATTCTAATTCAAGACAGTCTTGCGTTCAAATAGGGCATGCGGGAGGAAAGCCACAGCTGAGTAAGTAAGGGCTGTGGGTATGGAAGTGGCATCTGTGTGTGGGTCTTTGTGCGTGGGAGTGAGGACGCCAGCACATGGGCTGTGTGCTGCGGAAGGCATCTGTGGCCGCAATGGTTCTGGCAACCACTGGGCGTTGTCATTGTCTGCCTGTCCATGTGTTCTTAGGTGCACACGCAGCTTCTTGGTGGGTGTGTCAGTTGCATCTGTGTATGGGTTTCTCTGTGTGTATGTGGGAGTGCGAAAAGAAGAGCTAACTTCTAAATAGCTTTTCCAGATTTCCACCCAAGGCCCAAGACTCAACATGACAATGCTGTCAGAAGCGTAAAAGAAATTTGCTATTGATACCTTAACTAGAAGGCATAGAAGGGCCAGAAAATAGAATCAACAATGTATTATATGCCCTTTCTTCCTCTCTTTCCAGTCTTAAGAGAGTCTCCTCCTCATCTCCACCTCATCCCTTCTCTGTCCTGGTGAATTATTGTTCATTCTGCCTGGGCATCATCAAATTGAGAAGACTGGAGGGAAGAATGTCTAGACAGAGGGCTCAGGAAGCCAATGTCTATGCTGCCATGTTGAAACATCACATCAACTGCATGCCAGGCACTGTGTTATAACACAGTCACACCCCTTCCTCAATGTCCCCAAGCGGCAGGCTGACACCCAAGAGGATATATAAGGTAAAATAACAGTTGGAATTATGATAGAACATGAAACCAATCAGTCAATGGAAGCAACTATGTGAATTGTAGAATATAAGTTCTATTTGTGCTGTATCAAAGTAAAATTTGCAAAATTTTTGGCTAAGATGAAAAATTTATGAAAAAAACAAAGAGAAAAAAATCTATGAAAACCATCTAATGCAAAATTCCTACTAATACTCGAACCAGACTTTACCCACCTCCAAAAATATTTTAACTAATCTCTGCTTTGGCTGGTGACTCTTAAACCTAAAAATGAAAATTTCTTAATTTTATATTTCCCTGACTTTTGGATAGCTAGATGAGGTACATTTGAGAGAAACAGAGAGAGAGGACAGAAGACAAAAGGCAGAAGAGAGGGAAGGATTCTACATGCCTGGGAAATATTGATAGATTTTTATTTTTCTGTTGAATGACAGCAATACAATCAAGACAGCAGTGAGATGCTTCCTCCTAAATTGGGAATAGGGGAAATAAGGTTTGCCATCTGTGGGAGTAAGTCTGGAGACTGTAAATATGTTCTTGAAGTGTTTGGGAACACACAAAACCCCAGTTAAGGTCACCTGGGTGTAATTTCAAGCAGGCAGTTCTAGAATGTGATTTTAATTTAGTAATTGGAACCCAATTGCATTGTACTTTCCTATGGTGAAAGAATTGAGTGCACAGAAGAGAGTTGAGCCCGGACAAATGGAAAAGGGCGCTACAGCTGGGCAATCTGGAGATGGGGAACTGGGAGACACAAATGCTCAATCAGTGCAGGGTGCTGTGGAGCAGTGATCCTTCACCCATAGCCCTGCCTCTAGCACACAGATGAAACATACATATTTCCAGTTGCTTTTATTCTCTGCTCACTGAGTTACATTTTTACAATGAACTATTCTGTTAATGAGAAGGTGGTACTGTGGAAAGGGAAATAGCATTATTCTAAACGCTGGAAGGAGGAACTCCTATGATAAGTGGAGGAAGAGGCAGTCGATTGGATTGATAATCTTCAATCTACCATGAGTTTGAGTAGTTTGAGACAGGCTTCCCGGACTGATGGCAATGCAAAGATACTGACAAGCCACATCCAGCACTGGGTCACCTGTGAGGACTGTCAGTGGATAGGACACTGGCTGTCCTCTAGAAATCACTTTGCTGCTAACTAGATTGAATACTTAATACTGCTAGGTTATTATTTAGAAACAATACATATAGAATGGGATAAAGGTTATCAATAAATGCATACTTCCAATTTTTCTTCTTCCCTGATGCTGAAAAGGACAAGCTTGGCTTACTTCAGGCTGTTTCTTTTCCCCACTCAGCAGCCATAGTCCTGATTTGCTTGAATCTTTTTTTAAATTTTGTGATGCAGGACTAAGAGGAAAAGGTGGGCATGGAGGAGCAAGAAGACAAGTGTGTAAAGGAGATTCTCTGTGGTCTGTATGAGAAATGGATTGGGGAGAGAGAGAAGTTGTCTTGAAGGACTATGTATCAACTTCCTGAAGTTTGAGGAAACAAAAGTAAAATATTTGTTATTCCAAAATTATTTTGCTTGGGTGGAATGGAACACATTCTTTCTCTCTCTCTTTTTTTTAAAGATTTTATTTATTTGACAGAGAGAGACACAGCGAGAGAGTGAACACAAGGAGGGAGAGTGGGAGAGGGAGAAGCAGGCCTCCCGCCAAGCAGGGTGCCCCATGCGGGACTAGATCCCAGGACCCTGGGACCATGACCCGAGCCAAAGGCAGATGTTAACGACTGAGCTACCCAGGCACCGCGAAATACATTTTCTTAAACTTAACACCTGTATGGATCAAAACAACTAAGATATAGCTTTAGGAAGAGTCAACATAAATTCTGTTGCTTATTATTCTAAATTATTTTCCCTAGAAGTTTGATCCTTGATATTTTGATTTGCAAGCCCAGGGAACACACCCTTTGCTCTTGTTTAAGAGGCCACATGTTAGACCAGACTGTGCTCTGACACTCCAAGCCGTATGTCCAGCTACCGATTGGTCATTTTTGTTTGGATTTCCCTTCAGCATCTCCCACCCAAATAAGCTCATCTTTTCCAAGCTTGCTTCTCCTGGTGTGTTTTTTTTACTATTTTGAGCCCACATTTCTAAACAAAACCCACAGAGTCTATCTTGACTCTTCCCTCTCTGGTATCAACCTCCCAATTTGTCTATTTTAATTACTAACTATAAAATTTGCCCACTCATCTCCATCCCACTGCCATGACTTTGGGTCAGACCACCATTATCTCATGAAATAGTTTCCCAACTGGTTTTCCTGTCTCTAGCCCTTCCTTGACCCACACCTCCAGATGAAAATCATGCCCCTATTCAGTTGTGTTCCTGTTTGGACACTGCCTTTTCCGTGTAGTTCTCTTTAGATATTAATCTTGACGTTTCTTCTTTGCTTTGTGTGTATGTGTTTTATACTGATCAAAATCTTAAGTTTTTCCAAGTACTGCATCTTAATGCCTATCCTATGTAATTTTCACCACTTTTTTTTTTTTTTTTTTAAGCAGAAAACACCATTCACTCTCTTTTTTCCCCTGCAGAGACCTCCTTCAGGGGATTTTTGTATAGCTGTCGGGACTGGTTAGACCTATCACCTGGGGCTTCTTTCATATCTTCCCACACTGGATACACAATTTGCTGGATCCCTTGTCTTCCTGGTTTTTTTTGGTTTATTCCTGTAAGTGACAGCCTAAGAAAAGGTAAATGTGAGATACAATTTTTTGTCTTTTCCTGTCTTAAAATATATTTATTCTGTAAAACTAGACTTGGAGACAACTAAGTGTTTATCAAAGGATGAATGGATAAAGAAAATGTGGTATATGCACAAAATGGAATATTACTCAGCCATGAGAAAGAAGGAAATTCTGCCTTTTGTGACAACATAGGTGAGCTTGAGGGTATTTTCCGAAATGCAATAAGTCAGACAGAGAAAGACAAATACTTCCTGGCCTTCTTTACATGTGGAACCTTAAAAAAATGCTGAACTCAGGGGCGCCTGGGTGGCTCAGTCGGTTGTGCATCTGACTCTTGGTTTTGGCTCAGGTCATGATCTCATGGGTCATGAGATTGAGCCCAAGGTTGGGCTCTGCCCTTAGTGCGGAGTCAGCTTGAAGTTTCTCTCCCTCTGTCCCTCTTCCCATTTTTTCTCTCTCTCTCAAAAATAAATAAAATAAATCTTAAAGAAAAAAAAAGCTGAACTCATAGAAATAGACAGAATAAGGTTTGCCAGGGGCTAAGGGGTGGGAGAAATAGGGAGATGTTTATCAAAAGGTACAAACTCCCAGCTATAAGATGAATAAGTTCTGGGGGTCTAAAGTACAGCATGGTGACTATTATTAATAATAATGTATTATATACTTGAAAGTTTTTAAGAGAGTAGATCTTAAATGTTATCATCACACACACACACACACACACACACAAAGGTAGTGATGTGAGGGGATGGAGGTGTTAACTAACCTTACTGTGGTAATCATTTTGCAATATCTTTGTATCAGATCATGAAAATAAATAAATAAAATAAATAAATTCTAGGCTGAAAAAAATTGATTCTTGAAGATATTGTTCTGTAATATGTGGTTTTACTGACAAGAAGTCTGCTTTTCTCCCTGGAGGCTTTTCCCCCCAGCTTTATTGACAGACCACATTGTGTAAATTGAAGGTGTACATAGCGTTGATTTGATACATGCATACATTGCAAAACGATTGGCACCACAGCATTAGCTAACAAAACCTCCAGGGTACAAATTCCCTGGGTGTTTTTATGGTCTGCTCTTTTCATTTTTCATGATTTCAGCAATTTTCCTAAGTATGCTTCTTTTCTCATTTATATTACTAGGCATTTGGTGGAACCATCCATTTTGAATTTGCCTTTCAGTTTGGAAAATTAGTCTTGTTTTCTTTTTCTGATTATTTCTCTTCTCTCTATATTCTCTCCTCTCAAAACTCTTAATAGGTGGATGTTTGATCTTCTGGATTCATCTCTTAAGTCTCTTATCTTAGGAGTAAAGGAAGTTCCAGGAAGCAAACTAGAGTATATCTTTCTATCCTTCTATTGAAGTTTTATTCTGGAAATTTGATTTCTAACTCAACTTGATACTCTCTTACATCATATGTCAATGAAACTAGAGGCCCTGTTATAACCCTGGACTCCTTTCCAAACCGCTCCTGCTGTGCATTTTCTACTTGGCTCCCTCTGGCTCTCTTGGCTTTCTCTCCAATTTACAGTCCTGTTTTTCACCTTTGCTTTTGGCATAGGAAGTTCCTGAACAATATTTTGTAAGCTGCTATGAGACATCTCTTTAGACCTCGTAGGGGCTTGGCACCGTATGGACTTCCATGAGCCACTATCAGGCCCATTTGCTGTGGGCTGTTCACAGCATGGAAGAATCCCCTGTATTATCACTGCTACCAATTTTTGTGTTAAAGGGACTCCTTTTATAAGTGAAGACCCCTCTTGTAATCAAATCACCTCTCCTAACTTTTCTTTTGCCATCAGTACAAAATTTCTTGAATCAGTTTTGGTGAAATGACTGGGGACTTCTATTATGTGAGGTACAAACAGTAAGAAAAAGTATCAGAAAATTTCATGGTCACTTTCTTCCTGACCCCAGTTAACAATGTGTGACTTACAGAGCAGGGAATTGTTCACAATGTATTGAACTCTGCCAGAGCAGGGTACTGTCTCTGAGCACAAGGTTAGGTGGCTTATTTTTATTCCAGGCTGGATCAAAGCAATTATAATGAAATTGATGATATTAGCTGCATTGAGAGAAAAGGGCTGCATTTTGTGTTTGAGACATATTTTATAGATGTGAAACGGATTCAGGGAAGTCTAGCCAGAGTTTACACAGCTAGTAAATGTCATAGTTTTGTGTGTTCCTGACTCTCTACCTCTCCATATACTCTACGCTACCCCAATTAACCTTCCTTCTCTTTGCCGTTTCAAACCATTAGCATTAGAGCATGGTGGTGAAGAGCCTGAGCCCCAAAGTCAGGCAACTGTGGATTTGAAACCCTGCTCCATCACTTAGTGACCTCGATTCACTT